TAATAGAGATCAAAGAAGGTAGGGCTCCTTTGAACTATCTTCATAGTTTTTAAATTAAAATATCACTTTCCCTATACATTCTATTGAACTTTTCCTTTAGCTCCAGTGAGCAATTTATTTTGGCTGTAACACAGATCCCTTTTTGTCTGTGACTTGACTCAGAAACTTTCTTTAAAGTGTCAAAGTATTCTCAAGAACATTTCAAATTTACCTAAGTAAATGAAACCAGAACTACAGTGACAATTGTAGTGATACAGAGAATGTTAGAGTAGAATTAAGCAGTATCCCAGTCTAAGGCAGGATTCTGGAATAAAGTGACAGGTAATATAGCTATTAGCATATGAATAGAAGATGGATGGAGTATTATCAATGTCAGTTAGGACAAGAAAAGATGAATGGCTCAATTAACTCTCAAAATGAACTGACACAGTGGGGTTGGTGACTCAAAGCAAAGTATTGGCAGCAAATAGATGAGGAGATGGTATTGTATTAGCATTTGCGTGGTCTCCCAGTGTTAACATCTCTTCTGTTCTTCTCTAGCTGTAGAAAAGAATCAATTTCAGTCTAATAGCCAGGGAAGGCAAAAGAACTTCTCCTGAGCACACACACAGATTGTATTTCAGTCAGCTTTCCTGCTGTCCATCAGCATCAAGAAACCTTAAGAATTGCACTGATGTTAGCACTAACCCCAGGTCTCTCTCAGTCACACATGCTAGGGCCCTAACCCCATGGGACAGTCACATCCAAAGCCGAGGGAACTGATCAGAACCTCCTCAGAGGAGAGAGAGGAGGGACTTCTCACCTACTCTGTGGTGTATATTTCCCATAAGTTTGCTTTTGCCTGTGCCCAGTTCAACACTTAATGACTGTCTTTTGGGACTATCTAGGTCCTACATACAATAAGGCATCAAGTTTGCACACTCTGCATTGCTTCCTGGATGATCTTCCGTGTAGTGATAAAGGGAGCCAGTGCACCTACTATAGGCTTTTTCAATATCCTGCAATGCCACCTTCAGTATTCTTCTGGATAAAGATTTCTAAATTCCAGATAAATCAGAATTTAGGCAGCCTAGTATTTTAAAGTCTAATTTTTAAACCTTTTGCCATTTTACCTCTTGGCAAGGTCCACAAAACACTATGGGATTCGATAACAGAGGGCTTTAGTAAGCTGGTGAGATTCCTCACCTCTAACTAAAGAAATTTCTGCTATTTCCTTTGAGATCATTTGGGTTTTGGTACACAAATGACACACAGCATAAAGACAAGCATAGCAATTGCCTTTTAAACCAAAAAGGGTATAAACTAATGAATTTTACCTCATGGAAGGGCCAAGTATTGTGGCATATGCCAGAGATAGTCATACAGTGAATTTAAATGCATCCTTTGCTCATTATCAGCTGTTGCCTAAATCCAGCTTCTGAGTTTCTATATATCAAGAATCTGGAGCTGGAGTTCCCCACATGCCACTTCTTTTCTACTTACTAACCCTATTTCACACACTCAAGTTTGAATATGATGGTCTTGTAGCTTTCTGCAAGGTTCAGATAGTTCAGATGGAATTATTGTCACTTCAGAAACATCGAAAACGGGGCAGAGAATTTGTAATATGTTGTTAAATATGAATTTAACACATAACACTCAAAATCCAGAGATACACCCCTCATCCCAATGCTTCTGATACTGTAAAATTATTTTCAATAGCATATAAAAGTGTGCTTTTCACTGTAATTTGGGCAATGAGATTTGTGACAATGCCTAGTATGCTTCTATAGATTTGGGTTTTTTTGAAGGAGAGAACATAGGATAGGGTAGGACGGTGGCAAATGTCTTGTTGGCCTGAGAAGAAACATGCTGTACTTGAAAGCATGGTGTTCTTGTGCCAGGACTAGAACAGAGCTGTGGGGAAGATATTTCTGTGAACAGAAAAAACACAGGAAGAACCACCATCAACTATGACACCACACTGGGTGATTTTAAGTCAAAGCATTGAACTAGTCAATTGTAGTTCAGCTTTCAGCAACAAAAGTAATTAAGTATTCTGTTTTCTTTATTCAAGAGTATTTTCAAGGTGAGAAGTGACCACTAGATTATAAATTAATTGTGATTAATCTTACACTTGAAGCATGCTTTTGATTGGTGCTTGTTTGTTTAATTTGAATATAAGAGCAGATCGTCTTTTACTTCCCAGAACCGTCTCATTTCTGAATTTTCTCCAGTAGACAGGTACTGTTTAATCAGCTACTTTTGCTCTAGGCTGCACTGTCTAGTTTAAACTTAGGTTCCTGTTATGTTTTATCCTCTAGCTTAAAGAGCCTATTAGTACCTGCTGTTTTATCCCAGTGATGATACTTACACAATGTAATCACATCACCTTTTCTTGAAAAGCTGAACAGATTGGACACCTGAAGATGCTCCCTGGAGAGGAACTACTTAAAATTATGTTTAGGGTTCCTTTCTTAACTTTCTCAAGGTTCTCAATATCTATTTTTAAAATGCAAATACCAAAACTGGACAGTTTTCAACTTTTGTCTCACTGGTGTTTCAAACTGAGTAAAAATCTACTATTTCCTACTTGTTGTTCCTCTGAAACATCCAGGGATAGCTGTATCCTCTTTCGGCCCCTTTTCCCTAAGAATATAGAACAATTCTTTCCTACTCTGACCCCACACCCTTCCCTGTATGCAGAGTAAACCACACGCTGCTCCAGAGTGGCTGGCACTTTGTCACCTGGAGATGTGTTTTCACATTAAGCTCCATTAAAGCACATTCTGTTTTAACTAAGTTCATCTTATCTAGTCCCTAATAGGTTACAGTGTAATGAGAATGTCATGTCTCATTGAATAGCACACCTGTCAAAAACCTGTTATGGATGTGGCTGTGTAACTTTACTAACCACACTGATAACTTCCTCACAAAAACATGAACCATATTTGTTTGGCAGGCCACTTCCCATAAAAACACTTTGTCCATACTTTTTCTTTTCCTCTCTCTTTTTCTTCAGGTTGGTTAATGTCAGCCTAATCAGCCTGTAACTAACTGGTCACCGTAATTAGTTTTTCTGGACCTTATCAGAAAACTGAACACTAAATCTTTCAAGATTTTCCTGCTATGCCAAGATTTACTTGAAGTGTAGAAAGACAATTACCCTCTCAGTTGTCCTGTCCCTTCTTTTGGTATTTTATTGGTACATGGGTGCCATTTTTCTAGGACTGCTGTTTTTCATATGGTCTTAGGAGATACTTCTTTTTTGAGTTCATCATCTAGCAAACATTTCCTCCCTGTCTTTCCAAACACAATCCTGAAGTATTTATGTAAAAAACTATATATGTATATTTTAGCCTTCTCTTCTAATAATACTCCTTCCACTTCTAAATATAGAAATGCTTTGTTACCCATAACCCCTCCAGGCATGGATTTTCCCCTTAGGGCTTTTGCTTCCCTGATGAAATCTCAACACTTTCTAATTAATGTTGATTGCCATCTACTATTGCATTTCAATGTTAGTTCTACACAGTAATTTTTCTTCTCATTTGATGACTTTGCTTATTCAAGAATGGGCTTTCAAGGAAAATTTTCCTCTTGCTTAATGGTAGACTTCTTGGTAAATTACCATGTTTCCCTATAAGCTTCTCTATTTTATTCCCCTATTCACATTTTCCTCCCAAATTCACCTTTTTTCAGCTTTAGGGAATTAACTTTTTTGAAACAGCATGTGTGTGTATAAAACATGGTTCAGGCTTGTTTGTTTAGATCATGGCCAGCTATGAACATAGCCTGGAACGAGGCAAATATTGACACGAGTGAGATACTCAGGCACTCATTGAAAGAAAGTGAATGGTATTTCTAGCAGCAGGTTTTACTAACGGGCTACAATAGGCACTACCTATAAATCATGTAAGACATTCTTTTGTTATGGAACACAGTGATAGGAAAATGGAATTTTGGCCTTCATTTGCACTAGTATAGACAGATGTAGAGTCCAACTGTGATTTGATCCTTTTGAAAGGTGTCAGTCATGGCCAAAATTCTTTTGGGGTGTTTCATACGCTCAAAACACCCAAATCTGGGCTTTTACCGAACCAAAATTAAGCGCATCGTTTAACTGGCTCCAGAGAACATCTCCATCATTCTTTGAGGCTTTCAGTGCTCCTGTCAGCCACATCTGATTTTAGTAAATTCGCCTGTCCTTCCCATTCCGGAAAGTATAGCCGGAAACGTATTCGGTGTGTACTTAAAAACCTCTGTACAAACGACCACCCCTCTGAGCTGCGCGCCACCGTTACACTGTAACACTGACATAAGCAAACTTCTTAGCGTCTCCTGCAGCAGTCAGGAAAAGTGGGAAAGCCGGAGCAAAACTGAAGTTGAAGCGGGCACTCGGAGGTGCCGAGCCGCGCTCCCGGGAGACTCCCGGATCTCGGCACGGGCGGCCCCGGGACTGGCTCCCACGCCGCCGCCAGGTGGCGCCGCACCGCCGCTCCCGCCGCCGGCGCTTCCCCCTCCGGCGGGAGCCCCTCCGCCGGGAACTCCTCTGCCAGGAGCCCCTCCGCCGGGAGCCCCTCCGGCAGCAGCCCCCTCCGCCGGGAACCCCTCTGGCAGGAGTCCCTCCGGCGGGAGCCCTCTCCGCCGAGCCGGGCAGCGCTGCCCCTCTGCCTGAGCCCCCACCGCCAGAAGCCCCCTCCACCGGGAGTCCCTCCACGGGGCCGGAGAGTGCAGACCCTCCGCCGGCAGTACCTCCTCCAGGAACCCCCTCCGCCAGCAGCGTGTCCGTGGGGCCGGGCCGGGGCCGAGCCCGCACTAGGAACTGCGCCGCCGTGTGCGCGTCTGGAACTCCCCCCGCGCAGTGCCGCCCCCTCCGCGCTGTTCCCCGGCCGCGCTGCCAGCCGCGGGGGAGGCAGCTGTGCGGGCAGAGCGAGGGAGGGGAATAGGGGGCAGGAGGGACGAGGGAGGAGGGAAGGCGGAGACGGGGCCAGCCCGAGGAAATCAAACGGCCCCGACATGAATTAGGCAGCAGCTGCAGAGGGGAGGGCCCCCTCCCCCGCTCGCTCGCTGGTCCCGCACGGCGCCGGCGGGAGCAGCGCCGCCCCGCTCGGAGCGGCGGCTCGGGGCGCGCACGCACACACGGACCGGCGGCGGCCGGGCGGGGGGGCCGGCTGATGAAGATGGCAATGTCTGTGATCCAAGCGTGCCGCAGCCTGGCGCTCTCAACATGGCTGCTGTCCTTTTGTTTCGTGCATCTGCTGTGCCTGGACTTCACCGTGGCCGAGAAGGAGGAGTGGTACACGGCCTTCGTCAACATCACCTACGCCGACCCGGCAGCCGGCAGTCCCGAGCTCCGCAGCGAGAAGAGCGAGTGTGGGCGCTACGGCGAGCAGTCGCCCAAGCAGGACGCCCGGGGGCAGGTGGCCCTCTCCGCCTCGCCCGCTGACCGCTACGCCTGCGACCCCGGCACCCGCTTCAACGCCCCGGCGCCGGGCAAGAGCTGGGTGGCCCTGATCCCGCGGGGAAACTGCACCTACAAGGACAAGATCCGCCACGCCGCCGCCCAGAACGCCTCCGCCGTCGTCATTTATAACGTGGGCTCCAGCAACGCCAACGAAACCATCACCATGCCCCACGCAGGTGAGTCACGCCACCCCCAGGGGTGAGCTGAGGGGGCAGACGGATGGACCCCCTTTTTCAGCCCGCTATGCCCTCCCGCATCCTTGGTGTGGGAGCTACTGCGGGAAGGTGTTCTCGCACCTCCTGACGGGGAGCAGGATGGGTTGTGGGCGTTGCTGGGTGTTGGGTGCCCATCGTGGGGTCCATGGAGCTCCTCTCCATGCTGCCATGGCAAAGGATGGATGTGCTGCTAACATATCCATAGCAATGCACGCCGGTGCTCCCGGGTTGAAAAGTTTGGGGCACGTAAAGTTTGGGTCTAGTCAGAGGAACGGGACGCTGATCCCGCTGTGTTTCGTTGTGTCCTGAGAATCTTCTGGCAGGTGCCGTGGGGGATTGAGTGTGACTGAGAACTTTTGGAAGAGGAGAAGTTGCAGTGTTGTGGTGCAGGCTTATCAGGAGGTGCAATAAGGTAGAGAACACGGTGTCCACAGTCTTGGCTGCAATGATCTAAAAGCTGTGAGATCGAGTAGGAATGTTGAGTATCTGATTTGGTGAGAGCATGAGATATGTTGTCCAGGACTGGGATGGAGGGAGTGTTTCACTCTCCCAGGTGAATGTTCTGGTGGAGTTTGTGCTTGCAATGTCAGCACATTGGTGATCGGGTCCCAACATGTGCTTGTCAACTAGAACCCAGCCAAAATCCAGTAATTCAAAATAACCTAAACCCTGGCTTATGCCCACAAAAAAAAAAAAAAAAAAAAAAAAAAAACAAAAAAACAAAAAAACCCACACTGTTTCTGTACCAGTGCTTGATCTGAAATAATGTCTTAGAAACAGTTCACCAGATATATATTTAGGGACAGTGTTTTCTGCTAGGAGTCGCTTGTCTTTTATACCAGCTGCCTATGCCATGGAGATAAGATGCCACCTATTGCGAAATCTCAGTTTGGTTTCCATCCAGTAACTAATCATGCCCAGTTGTTTCATGCCAGTTGAATCTTAGTAGAGTTGGGGTAAATTGAAATACAGAAATGCTGCAAAACAGGATATTATTCTAATGACATGTTACATTTCCACAGTAAACTAGGTAGCTTGGATGTGCTAAAAAGCAATTTGTTGCCTAACCATAGTGCTAAAATACTGCTGGATGCAAAAGGAGTGATTTTGGAACCTCTTTTGTGTCCAGCCTGTTTCAGAGATTAACCACTTGTATTGGGCAAAATAGCGTTTCTTTGGTACGGTTGGTGCAAGATGGGGCTTTTTTTAGTGTTTTCCTTTGGTTTTGTGAGACAAGCAACTCATAACCTCTTGAGCTTCCTAAAACTGTGTTTTATAACCTGCCCATGGTTTAGCAGCTTTTCAAATTGTACTTCTTGCTACTTTAAGTATCACAGATTATATCCTAAGAAGTATAAAGTAGTAGGAGCTTGGCATACTTATGCACCCTCAAAGTAAAGCTCAAGCTGTTTTAAAACTTAAGATGCAGCATAGTTTATTCTTCTCTAGTAAGTTTCTCTAAAACTGCCAACATGCTGGATTAATTAATAGTTTGCCTGTTTTTAAAGTAAGCACTAAGCTGTTTTCCCACACAAATGGTGTTTTATTAAGAAATGGTGGGAGTAAAAAATGTGTCTAATCTTTTAAAATGTTAGAGCTTTGGTTTGTTTTGAAGTCTAAGATGAAGTAGGGAAAGAAACTTTCTTACTGCAAGTGGCCTCAGATTTAAAAAATATGAACATAGTATCAGTTATTCTGGGAGCAGCTTCTTCTTTGTCCTATGATTCCACAGGATTTGTTCGGAGAATCCTTTCTGAGTACTGAATTGATACCCAGCAGTGGGTTTGTACAGCACCAGCAGCTGAAATGAAAAGAAACTGGACTTGTGGAATATGATCAGTGAGACTTTGCTCATAGATTTGATGCAGTTGTCTTAATTCTAATTCTTAATTCTTGTTCAGCAAAGTTGAATAATGGTTGTTGGGCTTACCTTAGAGAAAACCTATCCTCTGCACATGGTCAAAACTGAGAGGAGTTTTAGGCCACAAGTCTGATGGAACAGAAGAAAAAATAATTTTTCTTATATATTTAGCAATCTAGCAGGGATTCAGAACTCTCCCTCTGGTACTGCTGTTACTCTGGGACAAAGTGAATGGTCAGGCTGTGTAAAATTGTGGCTGCTAGTTAGTAACTTGGAGCCTTTGACATTTGTTTGTTCCCAGTCTAAATGATAACACAAGATTCAAGGGAAAAATGAATCAGTTTCTTGGTTTCTGAGTTCAGCAGCATCTGCAGTGCTCTGCCCACGCGAAATCTTGGAGTGAGAAGAAGAAAATTCCATCCTGGAAAATACTTGGAGGTTGGGAGGGAAGGGTGAAATATGACCTAAATTTTAAAGTCAAAAGAAATATGATGTTACTTCCTTATTATTTTCTATTTCTCTCTCACTGATTTTTTTTAAGGTTTCATAGAAGCTTAAACAATCTCTTCCTATACAGAAAAGCATATCCTGTTGCATAACAAAGTGGCTTCTGACCTTACTAAATAACTTTTAAGAGTAATACTACTCCTAAGAGTTTTTCCCCCCTATGTATATTCTTCTCTTCTGTATGCTTTGCCTTCTTTCTCTTATTGTCACTTTCCATCTTTGTGCTTCTTTTTCTGCTCTTCTCAACCTTGTTTCTTCATCTCTACCCCTGTGTTTCATTCCCTGCCTTAACCATGTCACTTTACCATTTCATAGTCCTTTGCCCTTGCCACTTTCTTCTCAAGGCACTCTTTCTGTTGCCAAAGAACTTACCTCATGGCTCTATGTTTAATTATATTTCCTGTTTTCTGCTACAGTGCATGCCAGTGTCCCATTGCTCATGTAGTGCCTCCTGATTTTGAAATCTGTAGGCAACTGTAGCAAGATACTGTGTGTGAATTTGAAGGAGGCTTCTTAGACCTCCCTCCCACCACCCCCAAATCAAAACCAGGGTAGTATTATATCAAAGCTTGTTGTGGAAATCTTAATATATAACTGTTCAGGATTTATTTATAGAGCATACAGCACAAAGTGTGTGATTTGAACCAGTTCCGTCACCCCATCGAAAGAATTTCCTTTCAGGGAGCTTGTACTGAGGTCACTGCTAGCACACGCAGGAGGATGAGGTGGAGTTATGATATCTACATTCACAGGGAATATGGAGCTTTGGGATTCTCCTGCTAGGATGTCGTTAGCTTGTATATCATCTGCTACAACCTGGGCAAACAGGCATCTTTCTTTTTATTGGCTTGAAGGATGGCACAGGAGCTGTGAGTATGACTTTGCATTTTGACTAAGTAGGCTCCAACGAGAGAAGGAAAAAAAGCATCTAGAATTTCTATTTCAGGCACTTTGGGTTTCTTCTAGATCAACTTTCCGAACAGAAAAGTACTGTAATAATATAGAGGATGTTCTTTTTTCTCCAGAAGAAATACATGGTCTTGGCTGGGGTTTCTTACTGAAGGTTTTTCTTACTCAGACCAAATTAGCCATTATCTAGGTTTGGAAAGGCCCCAACCACTGTGTCTATATTTAATAATTTAGTATTAATTTGCAGTAGTCTTACTACCTGTTGTAGCCGATATCCTAACATTTCCTCTGAGCTCTGAATAGGGACAGTAAGAGAGCCTTCCAGAAGGTGATTCAAGATGAGAACTTCCTTCTGTACAGTTCGTATTTGAGGGAACCTACATGGACCATTTCGAACTTGGGAACCTATCAGGTGCTTGGGAAGTTAACTGTGATTGTACATGATTAATATGTGGGTAAAAATCAAATCTGTAATATTCTACATAGTTTCTAAGACTCAGTTGGAATTCTGACATGCATCAGATTATCTCACAGAATGGATGTTGTTAACATGTGAAGTAAATTGCATCCTGGTTTGCACCAGGAACATATGTTAGTCAGGCAGTGTTGCATTCTACATATTCTGTTTTTCCAGTGCATTCCATCACAAATTTTAAGTCACTATGATATACCCTTTGCAATAATGGCCAGATGCCTAATTTTTTTTTTGTAGTGGCTTGTATACAAAAGGGTCTCATAAGTGGTCTAAGATGATTCTGACTTCTCCCCTCCCTCTCTGGCCCTCAAGTGCAGTGGGTGTATGTGTCCCTTCACATGTGCTGCGAAGGGGGCCAGACTCAACCTGGGAGCATTCAACTCAATAACAGTCTCTTCCTTTGTACTCAGACTTTTGTTCGTTGCTCAATGAGTAGTATTACCTTTTACATATTTTAAGGTGTGTTGGTAATAGGTTGGGCTTTGGCCTGCCCTGTAGATTTGTACTGATGCGCAAATTAAAAACCGAAGTTGAAGATTTCTCTCTTTACAGACTGAATTCAGTACTGTAGCTGCATTTGTTCCATTATAAAAATAATTGTTTTCCTAAACTTTTGTGGAATTCTAATGAGGAAGATGTGCTGAGAGCATTCACACTGAATTTACGTGTGGAAAAGTGTGAAGTAACGGAGGGCTGGAGATTTCTGCCTTCCAAAGTCTGCCATAATTGTTTTCTTTTCCAGACACCCAAGACTGATTCCTAATAGAAATTCATTCAGTGGGAAAGGGAGATGGAAATTAGTGCATCTTTGAGCCCCGTCCATTGAGGCATTGCTCGGAGGTACTGCCATCCTTAAGAACTCAGAAGAGCTGCTGGATCCATCATTTAGGCCTGGCTTTCTGCAGTGTTTGAAAATCTAGTTCTCTGTGTTTATCAAAATTCAGGATTTCTAGCTGACAGGCTGTCCCATTGCATTCCCTGGTGAGTCATGCTTCTGCTGCTAGATCTGCTCTGAAGAGATTCTAGACTGCTTTACTGCCCATTTGTTCATCTATACCAGGTGGAGGGGGCACATGTGCTGTTAGGCAACTAGTTCAGGTTAAACTAAATTGAAAGGAATTAATTTGACCCCCAAGGACTAGAACAGCAAAATAATACTAGTCCCTGGCACTACTTGGGACAGCCACTTCAGCTGGGGCACTGAGTTTT